ATTTTTGTTAAAGTGTTGATTTCATTAATTAGATGAGTCTATCATGGTTGTATTTATGATATGTAATTGCTTTTGGCTAGATTTGGGCCATTTAGAGCCGGATATTCGTGGGAAAGGCATTGTGACCGATTGATTAAGTTTGGTTCGAGGTAAGTGGCTTGCCTAAACTTGCGTTGGGAACTTTTCCCTTAAGATGCTTGATATTAATTGATGTGCGGGCGCCGTATACGTGAGGTGACGAGTACGTACACATGCTATTATTGCAAAAATCCCGTTTTTCCTATCTAAATCATAAACTGTTTTCCCTTATTAAAGGAGCATGCTTACGTGTTTTAACTGCGTATTTGATATTCTGTGCGCCATGCTTAGTGAGGTCCCTATTTTCCTTATCTGTGTTCAGTATAAACTGTATAACTCGATGCCATACCTGCCATTTCATCTTGCGTTGCATATTTAAATTGGGACTACAGACGTATTCTGGGAGATCCGCTTGTCTTGCATATTTATTTTGGGACTACAGACGTATTCCGAGAGATCCCCCAACACTGCGTATTTACTTTGGGACTACGGACATATTCCGGGAGATCCCCCAGCACTGCATATTTATTTTGGGACTACGGACGTATTTCGGGAGATCCCCCTGTACTGCATATTCATTTGGAACTACGGGACGGTATCCCGAGAGATTTTCCACTGTGTTTACCTTGTTCTAAGCCGAGGGCTCCCTTAACTGTTAAATTTTCGAGAATTTCTTTAACTGTGTTACCGTAAATTTTACTTATATCTTTTACTATTTAATTTATTATATTTACTCCGGTAGGGCCTTAACCGAGGTTAGGCTTGGCACTTATTGGGTACCATTGTGGTGTACTTATGCCCTTTCCTGCACATGTTTTTGTGTGCAGATCCAGGTACGAGCTATCAGCCTTGGGGTTAGCGCATGCTGCTGATTCTAGGAGACTTCAAGGTACTTCTGCTTGCGTCCGCAGATCTTCGGAGTCCCCTACTACTCCCTCGCCTAGAGACCTTCTTTATTATCTTCAGACTTTTGTATAAAGCTACATAGATTATAGCAGCTTGTGACTTAGTGATATTACGGGTCTTGGGAAATTATTTTGTATATGTCGAGTGGTACTACTTTTGGCTATTCACAATATGTTGTTTATCTTTAAGATGTTGTGTTTTCTTTACATTTTTCGTAATATTAGGCTTACCTAGTCGTAAAGACTAGGTGCCATCACGACACCTTACGGAGGGTTAATTTGGGTCGTGACAATTTTACTGTATTTTGGCTCAACGTCCAGGAAGGCAAACCTTCTTTTTGGTCATTGTCTTCTTCTGCCTTTCTCTTGGTAGAATCAAATCAATTCCATCTCTTCTTGCATGACTTTCATCCACTAGTTCTTTTTTGGATGAGACATCACCTCCTTAAAACTTTCTGGCTCCCCCTCATCACTGATGAGGACATACTCTGTGGAAGGGTACCTGCATGACTCTACCCTTGGCCTTTCTGATCTCCTCAGAGGTTGAGGTTGTTCTTATTCCTGAATGGGGTGATCCACTTGCTCGACATCATCATCAAGTTGCTCCTCCTGCTCAATAACCTCATCAGGCTGCTCTCCTTGCTCGGCAACCTCGTCGGTCGTACTTTCTGCATTTGTGGGATAGTTAAAAGAAAAAGGAATGGTAACAAGGCTAGAGATTATACCATTCTTTGTCTTCTCTGACTTATGATCTACAACTCCAACTTCACTTTCTCGGAAAATTACATCTATGCTTCTAATGACCTTCTTCTTTACATGATCCCATAATCTGTACCCGAACTCTTTATATCCATATCCCATGAATATGCAAGGAACAAATTTATGATCCAGCTTTGTTTTCTTCTCCTTTGGTACATGTGCAAAAGCTCTGCAACCAAACACCTTTAGATGTGAGTAGGACACTTCCTTGTTGGTCCAAACTCTCTCTGGGATGTCAAACTCCAATGGAACTGATGGACTCCTATTGATTAGGTAACATGCTGTATGAACTGCTTCACCCCAAAATGACTTAGGCAGTTTAGCCTTTCCGAGCATGCTTCTCACTTTCTCAACAATGGTGCAGTTCATCCTCTCGGCTACACCATTGTGCTGTGGGGTTCCAAGAATTATCTTTTCATGTTTGATCCCATGACTTGAACACTTTGAAGTGTACTCACCTCCATTGTCACTTCGGAGACGCTTTAGCTTTCGACCCGTCTCTCTTTCCACCAAAGCATGAAACTTCAAGAAAATTTGAAATACATGATCTTTGTTTTTCAAAATATAAACCCATAATTTTCGTGAAGCACCATCAATAAAAGTAACAAAATATTTGTTGCCACCCATCGATTCAATTTCTGTTGGACCACAAACATCAGAATATACTAAATCAAGCATATTTAATTTTCTTTCAGACGATGTCTGAAATGAGATTCTATGCTGCTTACCAAATAAATAGTAGTCACAAGGTTTTATCGTTGTACCTTTGGCAAAAGAGATGAGTAATTTCTTTGCAAGAATCTGCAATCCCTTCTCGCTCATATAACCCATTCTTTTGTGCCACAAATCTGTAGAAATATCATCTTGTTCCATGTTTAATTCACCTTGGCATATTTTTGCATTTGTCCTGTACAACGTGCCACGAGCAACTCCCTTTGCAATCACCAATGATCCCTTGGTGAGTCTCCACTTTTTATTTGCAAAATAGTTCTCGTATCCATCTCGGTCTAAATCAATTCCCGAGATCAAGTTCATCTGCAAATCAGGTACATGTTACACATCCTTTAGAACCAATGTACATCAGACATTTGCGTTGATACAAATATCATCAATCCCCGCAATCTTCAAGTAACTTGTGTAGTGCCGAAATCACCTGCTACATATTTGCAAAAAAGATCTTTTATCGATGTGGCATGGTAAGATGTTGCTGTATCAATCACCTATTCCGACTCTGGACCTGACAAATGCATGCATTCCTCTTCCTCATTTATAAAGAGGACAACATTATCATTATTTTACGCCATGACGGTTGTGTTGTCGACATTCTTCTGGCCACTTCTTTCAGCTTTGTCCTTCCTTGGATTTGGGCAATCTCTTTTGAAGTGACCTGGTTGATCACAATTTTAGCAATTTCTGACTCTTGATTTGAATTGGTTCTTAGACTTCCCTCGAGATCCGGATCTACCATAGTTGCTCAAACTCCTTTGATAACTCCTGCCTCTACCTTCTCTGATGAGAGCATGTCCTTGATTTTCAATCTTTTTTCTCATCTTCTCATTGAGTAGAAGAATCGACGTGACATCTTTCAACTCAATGGTAGTCTTACCGTGCAGGATGGTTGTTGCCAAATTATCATATGAAGATGGAAACAATTTCAATAGAAAGATGGCTTATCTTCTTCCTCGATTTTCACTCCGAGGTTGGCGAGCTGTGTGATTAGTCCGTTAAACATTTAAATGCGACAAAAAAATCGTACCTTCACCCATGTGTAGGATGTATAACTACTTTTTCAGGTGCAATTTATTTGTCACCATTTTGGACATATATAGGCTTTCCAACCTTGTCCAAATGATACATGCAGTGTCTTCATCAATGATGTTATTTACCATATCATCCGATAAGTGCAACCTGATTGCACTAGCAACTCTTTCATCTAAGTTACCCCAATCTTTACCTTTCATGGTATCAGGTTTCTTGGCATCAACATCTAGTACCTTGTGTAATCCTTGTTGGATGAGTATATCCCTCATCCTTTTTTTGCCATGTTGAGAAACCGCTATGTCCGTTGAATTTTGCTACCTCGTATTTTACCCCGGATATTTTTTTTTTACCGAGTATAGTACTACCGACAGTGAATAGTACTTCTGTGAACGAGCATAACATGTGCTTTGATACCAGTTGTTAGGAATAAACTTCCACATAAATAATATTCACGGTAATAAAAGCGGAATTATAACGTAGCTCCGAGATACGGTAATTAACAAATATAAAAGAGTGACAACGACACCAAGTGTTTTACGTGGAAAACCTTTTTGAATAAGGGAAAAAACTAAGGCCCCGAGAGGAGCAACTGATATCACTATAACAAAGAATTTTATAATTTGTAGGTCCGAGTAAAATACTCCAAAGACCACTACAACACTCAAAAGAAATAACCCTTTTTTGATATTCTCACCTCACTACAATATCGTTCACTCTCTATTTTCTCACAGACTATTNTTTGATATTCTCACCTCACTACAATATCGCCCACTCTCTATTTTCTCACAGACTATTTTCTTATATCCTATCTGTGAAACCTCACTCTTTCTTTCTCTTTGTTGGTGTGTAGAAATGAGAGCTGAAACTCTCCTTTTATAGCCAAAGACTCACTCTCTGAAGCCTACTATATTTGACAATTTGCACATTTTTCCTTCTTTTTCTTTAATGTTAACAATTCAATAAAGTTGACTGCCAAACCAAAGAAATTTTCAGCCAAGTATTTTTTTTAGGCACATGCCTATTACTTTGACTTTTGAATGAGATGGACCCCATCAAATATATAGTATGGAGAATGCTTATAACTAAATAATGGTATGTGCATAAACATTCGGTAACCCTTGCATAATAATTAAAAAGACTTTCTTGGTTTCCCTCTCAATATCTTGTACTTGCATTGGGACCGGCTAAATTTGAATTCGCGGCAGGAAGTTCCACATGGGAGTTTGTGGGTGGGGGTTAAAGTGCTCATTGACAAAGGAAACTCTATGTCCACGGCTTGAACCTCGAGACCTTTGCTTAAGGATGAAATAGTACTTACCATTCCACCACAACCTTTTTTGGTAGAAGAATACATGTCATATATTCACAGGTTTGGGCAAGTTTTTGTCCAGATTAGTTGATAACATATTACCTTTACAGTTCACTAGAAAATGACCCATAACTGATATATTTACCAACTTCCCTTTCTCTAATGGAAATATCATATGATCCAAAATGCTTACCTTCTGCTTCAGAAAGAAGGTACATGCTTATTAGACTCTGTTTAAAATAGACAAAAAGAAGCAGAAAAATCTCTTAGATTAAGAGTCAATAAGTCAAGTCTTTACATTATAGTCAATGAGGAAGAAGAGTGGAAAATTCTTCCATCTTGTCCCTCCTTGAATCTTGTTTCCCTTCCTCAAAGTCTTTGTAAACCAATTCCAAGGCAACTGATAGAAAATTAAACCAGAAAACAAGGTTAATATTGCAGAATAAACCATTAACACCCTTCTTTTCTTATTTTCTTGTTTTTCTTGTTCCATATAGGAGTACATGGTATGGCTTCTACTTTCTTGTTTTTGTGTTGTTTACTGATCTTTAACCTACCTCAACTACAAGGTAACTCCAAATCCAACTGCACCGAGGAATTCGAGTGTGGAAATCTTGGAGTTATGAAGTTTCCTTTCACAAATTCTAGCAACCCCGAGTGTGGAATATACAAGTTTGATTGTCAGGCTAAACCATATCCAAAGATTGAACTTGGTAAACACAAGTATGATGCTTTAGTGAGGAAGAGTGATTTTTTCCTTCTTTCAGATTCTGAGCTTCAGAAATACTTAGAAAACAAAAGTTGCAAGTCTTTTAACAAAAAATTCTCATTTCCAAACTCCCCTTTGATTTCTTTCCAAATTATTCCTAACTTAACTTTGTACAGATGCAACCATAGTCAGGACATCATGCAGAAGAAAACTGATGCCTTTTTTCATGATTTTGAGAATTACAGCAAGTGTAAAGATTTCAATGTCTATTATCACCATCCCAATGAAACATTGGGAAATTCTAGTCATAAGATAAGTGGCAAACTTCCAGATCACTGTTCAATAATACAATTGCCAATTCCTTTGCCTACACCATCAAAACCATATGCAAGTGACTTGTTTGAACTGTTGAGTTCTAATATTCTGCTAGAATGGGAGTTGTCCAATGATTGTCATCACTGTCTTGACAAAGGAGGGAAATGCCTGATCGGTCGCGACCACAAATTTCATTGTTCCAAAGGTATAAACAACTGAAACTTACTATTGTGTCAACCCATCTTTAGTGGGAAAAAACTCTTGTTCTGCTTGTTTTCTATTTAGGTTTATCTAAAATAGCTTCTTTTTTTACTTCAGGGAAAAAAGAAAAAAGTAAGCTGAGAATGATTCTGGCTGCAGGTAATTGTCTGTTATTAACAATATTTGTTGCCACTAACAATGCTTTTACTTTAAAATAGTACACTTCCAAAGAATCAAACTTTGATTACTTTATCTTATGTTTTCTAGTTTTTATTGGAGTTGGTTTGATCCTAGTATCTTCCATTGTCATCCTTTCTATCTGGCGTCGCAAGAGAGGGAAGAGTGGTTCTACACAATTTCGTCGGGAGATTGAGGTAGAGAGCAAATATTTTGGATTTCAGGTTCCAGTTTTCTCCTATGCTGAACTTAAAGAAGCCACTAATAATTTTGATCCCTCAAATGAGCTTGGAGATGGAGGTTTTGGAACTGTATATTATGGTATGTATAGCTTTAAATGTAAGACATATGTTAAACTAAAAAATTCAGTATCTCATTGTTGTTACATGTTATGATTTAGGAAAACTATATGATGGAAGGGAAGTAGCAGTAAAATGCCTATATGAGCACAACTGCAAAAGAATGCAGCAGTTCATAAATGAAATCGAAATTCTTACTCGTTTGAGGCACCAAAATCTTGTGTCTCTTTATGGCTGCACATCAAGACGAAGCCGTGAACTTCTCCTTGTTTATGAATTCATTTCCAATGGAACAGTTGCTGATCATCTTAACAGCGAAAGAGCAGAAGAGGGATCGCTCACGTGGCCAATCCGTATGAGTATTGCTGTAGAAACTGCTAGTGCATTAGCCTACCTCCACGCTTCTGATGTGATACATCGCGATGTCAAGACTAATAACATTCTTCTTGACGACAACTTTCGTGTCAAAGTTGCAGATTTTGGGCTGTCAAGACTTTTCCCCAACGAAGTTTCTCACATATCCACTGCTCCTCAAGGAACTCCTGGATACGTCGATCCTGAGTATCATGAGTGTTATCAACTTACTGACAAAAGTGATGTTTATAGTTTCGGGGTTGTTCTTATCGAGCTGATATCATCAATGCCCGCTGTGGACATAACTAGGCATAAACACGAGATCAATTTGGCTAACTTGGCAATAAACAGGATACAAAGATGTGCATTTGATGAACTGATTGATCCATCGCTCGGGTTTACATCAGATACACTTGTTAAGAGAATGACTATCTCTGTCGCGAAGCTAGCTTTTCGATGCTTGCAACTTGAGAAAGATATCAGGCCAACAATGGATGAAGTATTGGACATTTTAAGAAAGATTCAGAGTGGAAAATTCCAAAATGAGAAGACATTAGAGTCTAGTGATAGTTTTAACTTAATCAAGTCTAAGAGTGTTAATATCCCTCCCTTTTCCCCTGAATCAGATAAGGTTGCACTGCTCAAGAAAGTTAAGTTCCTAAGTTCATCGGATTCTAATAGTGAGATATGGATTAGTGGCTCTACTACAACAAGCACAAGTGAGTGAGTAACTTAAGAATTTACAAAAGAATGTATTTTCAGACTTCAGAATATACTATAGGTAATGCACATATAATAAATAGGTTATGCTTCTTTTGCTTTTCAACTGTAATGTTCCTGAAATTATTTCCTTTCTAAAAAATCAATGTGTTTTTTTTATCTTGTTCCTGTGCCTCAACTGAAACTACTGGCTTTCAAGTTAAAAGTCGGAAAACAACAGCAACAACACCAACAGTGGAATCCCACAAGTATGGTCCGGGGAGGGTAATGTGTATGCAGACCTTACCCCTACTTCATATGAGAGCTGTTTCCGATGGACCCTCGGCTCAAGATCAGTGAGTGACAAATTCTCTTATGAGGGAGCAACAAAAAGTAGGGAAAAAAAGAAGCAACCATCAAATTTGTGCTTAGTGGCCTTAGTTAAACTCAAACTTGGCTATTTATAACAGGAGAAATTCCTTAGATATAGTAGGTTAGATGCATCAAAAGGCCAAAAACAAGGAGACAACAACTCATTCTCTCAATCAACCCAGACATTTTAACATTTATGCATGTCAACAGATGGACATTTAGAACGTGTACATTAAATAGGAGTCCAACATTGGGTAAACCAAAAATAGATATGAGCCTGATTCTAATACCATATTGAATAAAAGGGACATTAGTAACTCAATCGAAAAAACTAAACTCGTGATATGAGTATTACCTAAGATCATATAAGTAGATGGCGGAAGTAGGATTTTCATTAAGGGGATTCAAAGAATAAATAGTAAACACGCAAAGAAGCTAAGGGGATTCAACACCTACTATTATACATAAAAAAAAGAAGAAGCTTATATATAGAGTATAATTTTCGACGAAGGGGGTTCGGCTGAACTCCTTTCCGCTACCTAGCTTCGCTCCCGGAGACAACAGTCCACTCCATCAACCAAACCAACGAGGGTCACTAAACACAACACGTTTTCCTAATTATTGTTCGTTTTAACTCTCATTGTTGCATTCATTAGTTTTGTGGACAAAATAATATGATGCCACAAGCTCCATTTAGCACTCAAGTCACTAGGAACTTGAAATTGATGAGACATTTTGACGTATATTATGCTTCTAAAAGAATCCACAGAAATATCAAGGAAACATAAATGCTACTATTTCTGTTTCAATTTATATGACTTAGTTTATCTAGCACGAAGTCAACAAAAAAAAGAAGATTTTTGAAACTTGTGATCGTAAACATGCCATAACATTGTCCGGATTATTGAAACTTGATCTTAACCATGTTCAATAAGGGTAAAACAGAAGTTCAAAATTAAATTGTTCCAAATATATAGATATGTCAATCTTTTCTGAACGTACTGACGAGCGCAAAACACACGCTTAAATTGTGCTCGCTAGCCAAAGATAGTATAGTATATTATCGTATCCACAGGGATTGAAGTTAAACAATATTATCGTAGTTTGTAGCTAGATTGCTTCCAAGATGATCAACAAATTAGATTTATATGGTTGATACTAAAATTAATTAAAAATCTAGATCTAATTGACTAATGACAATCGAAGCAAGGCCTAAGCAGAGGAAGATATCAATGGGAGAAAATAGGGTTTTGATAGGATAGATGCAAGATAATTGTCTGGGATTTAACTCTAGATAATTCACTTCTAATGTTCAAGTGAGTTTCTCGAATTCACTTAATTATCAGTACAATTGTTTAGTAGAAACTCCTCTGTCGATTAAGTCTCAACCTCTCAATATGAACCAATTTAAGCATTGTGAAGATATGCAAGAATTCGTAGTGAATCGGTCTTTAGAAAAACCTCTTTCGATTATTCTCCTAACTAGGTTTAATCAATGATTCAACTAGCCTTTTTCGATTACTTAGAAGAATCTATGAATTCAACTACCAATATAGTGCAAAGATATCACAAGTTAATGCCTCTTTCTATTACAAGAACAAGTGAATATAGATGCAACAATTAAATCTTCTAAAAACGATTCAACTACATTAAAATAGAGTTATAATTCACAAACAATCATCAATACACCAAATCCATCAAAACCCAAAAGGATCTACTCCATAGACATGGAGAAGTTCTTCACAAATGTAATTAAAGTATATGAAAATATAGATTCAATCTAAACCCGAATCTTGAGTGAGGAAGGAATGATGAAATCCGTGTGCTTGTGTTCTTCCAACTCCTCCTTAGCCTCCTTGGACTCCTTAGGTCGAAAATCTATCAAAAGTCCATCTAAAATAGTGTTTTGGTGTATTTAAGCAGCCCCTCAAAATAAACACCGGACGAAACTACCCCTTTTTAGCGGAATTGGAAAGTCACACTAACACTTTTGGGCTACCGGGCCGCATGCCGCGCAGCCCCAAGCGGCGCGCATGTAGGAAATTCCAGAACGTGCCATAATATGAATTTTGGCCACTTTGCGCGGGGCGCTAGTGCAAATTGTGGCCAGAAATGAATTTTTCAAATTTTTGACATCCAAACTTGATTTTCGACCCCCGAACATGATCCCGGCTTAATTGCTTGGGCTTCTACTCAGATTTCAAAGCTCCAAATAGCTCGAATTAGATCCACAACATTTACATAACTCAGAATCACTTCTACAAGGCATAAAACATACAATAAGTGCAAAAACACTACCAATTAAAGCTCAATACAAGTAAAATGTAGTGAATTAGAGTTTAATAAGCGACTAAAATACGAGATTATAGTCTACCATCAACACCCCACACTTAAACCATTGCTCGTCCTCGAGCAATTAAACTACACTTCACATATACACGACCTTTTTAAGCAACTCTCCTAACTCATCTCACCAAGACTAATCGAAACAGATTAAGCACAATACCGTAACATCCTAGCCCCAAGATTTGACTCAAAATCACCACGTATTTTTCACAACCCGCTCACTTACTCTAGCACAGAGGTTAACGACATTACCTTTCCTTCGTGAATCAAGTGCCCTCATACAACAATAGAGAGTAGTTCAAAAAATAATAAGGTTTAAGAACAATTAGGAACTCAAGATAAAAAGAATTCACTCACTCTCAGAAGTAATACTCACGTGCTACAAAAGATGTACCATAAGCTTGCCCGTAATGTATTACTCTACTAATTGAGCTCATTCAGTCAAGGATCAAGTAGGACTTTATTTAGTTGTAATGTAGGCTGCGGGACGGGTATGATACATTTGGATATATTGACTACACATCCCTAAGCACTTTAATATATACAACTGACCGTTCAAAATTTCATACTTTTGTCAAACCATAACTCTACCCTTACATCAATATATTTCAACTCTCAACTTCTTTAAGCACAAATACATTAAGAATTACCACAAAATTTTGAGTGGCTCTTACTTTTTTAAAATAATGTACATTTCTCCTTAATTCAATAGTTCCACTCAAAAGCCAAACCAACACCCCACACTTTAACTTTTACAAAGTTCATAATAATTTTAAATGCTCGTGAGAGGTAAGAAGGTTCAAATAGATGGTCAATTCAAACAATTGGGTAAGGCTTGTAATGTGGTTGCCAAAGAAACAAGATTACATGCTCAAAGGGGTCAACTAAGATACATAATAATTAGGTGAGTACAATATATAACCGGCTTAACAAAGAAACGCCTATATCACTTTCAAGACTGAATAAAACTACTATTTCGCTTTGCAAACACGCAGGGCAAATTCTAGACATCAAATGCAATGAACATAATACACAAATCCTCACACACACAAGACACATAATTCACTCAGGATCGGGCTCATCGAGACACTCTAGTCAAGCAGTTAATCAAAGTTACGATCGTACCATTTAAGGTACTTATATAAGAGTCAAAAAAATTGAGCCTAAGCGCCACAACTAGGGCTCTTACTATTCTCAAGGCATAATACAGTCAAGAGGTATTGCTTTCATTTCAAAACATAGCACAAGATTTCCTACTCCTAAAAAAAATATAAAAACTAACTACACCCGTTTCAAACAAAACCATTAGAAAAGAACCGCGACACAAAGAAAACCAAGGGGGAATTATTATACTACCTTAAGAAAATAATTTTTTTTTCGACTTTAAAAAATTCAATCAAAAGAAACAAAAACACACACAAGAAACAAAAATAAACAGTTATTTACATATTTACATCCCCCACCCCCACACTTTAAATTGTGGCATGTCCCCATGACACACAAATAAAAAGCAAGAGGTAAAGAAAATTTCTCTGAAATTTTTCAGTTTTCGAGAACTTGTGAACTCCACCCCTAATTCTGAATGCATTTTTCGCTTTCGCTCCTCGAGATTCTTTATGGAGCTCATCAGGCCAAAGTCCTTTAAGGATATTTGCAAGACCCGCTCTTTTCTTTCTTTCTTGGCCTCATTTTGATCTGTGGATTGTTCTTGTAAGATCATTCTCAACTTGTTTCTGCATTCATTCACAAGATCAATCCCTGCATATTCCTGTAAATCCCCAAAAATAAAATCCACATGATCAAGGTTAGAATAAAAAAATGAAGAAGAAAGGTCATGTGAGTACTCCTTTGGTAAGTCCAAGACCATTTGTTCCTCATTCTATTCTACTAAAAATTGCAATTGTGGATATGTGGATGGGGGTTTGGACTCTTCTTGTATTGCTTCATAATCAACCAAAGCCTCATTTTCAATCATTTCAGTTGAAACAGAGTCCTCTTGCAGAGTGGAAAACTCTCTCCGTAGATATTCATCATATCAGGTAAGCTCATTTTCACAAGGTATCTCTTCCATATATTCACCATCATAATGCAACGAGCTAAGTCTATTTACTAATTGATTCACTTGCATTGTTAGGTTGTTAGTGGCTTCATCATCTTGTATAAATTTCTCTTCCACCTTATTTATGAACTTATACATAAGCTCTTCTAAATTACCATTCTCCTCTTTAGGTGGTTGTCTCACTTCGCTTTCATTCCAGTCAAAATAAGGGTATTCATCCCAACCAGAGTCAGAATTATACCTATATGAATTCTCATACCTATACAGACTAGAGCCAAAGTGAGAGTGTTCACAAGATGAACCATAGGAAGAATAACTACCTGCTTGACAACCAACCCATATATGATTTTCACCGCATTTAAAATACGTAGCACACCGCTGATAATATTCAGGTGCTAACTCTTCAACCGTTTTCTTAGGCTGGTTGTATTCCATCTTCACATCATTTAGAGTTCAATAACAAGAATATGCTCTTCAAGATTTCTTTTAAAATAAAAATTAAAAGCTAATTCCTGAATTAGCATTACAAACTATTTAAAAAACTATTGATTGCCAATCCCCGGCAATAGCGCCAAAATTTGACGAGCACAAAACACACACTTAAATTGTGCTCGCTAGCCAAAGATAGTATAGTATAATATCATATCCACAGGGATTTGAGTTAAACAATATTATCGTAGTTTGTAGCTAGATTGCTATCCAAGATGATCAACAATTTAGATTTATGTGGTTAACACTAAAATTAATTAAGAATCTAGAGCTAATTAACTAATAACAATCGAAGCAAGGCCTAAGCAAAGGAAGATATCAATGGGAGAAAATGGAATTTTGATAGGATAGATGCAAGATAATTGTCTGGGATTTAACTCTAGATAATTCACTTCTAATGTTCAAGTGAGTCTCTCGAATTCATTTAATTATCAGTACAATTGTTTAGTAGAATCTCTTCTCTCGATTAAGTCTCAACCTCTCAATATGAACCAATTTAAGCACTGTGAAGATATGCAAGAATTCGTAGTGGATCGATCGTTAGGAAAACCTCTTTCGATTATTCTCCTAACTAGGTTTAATCAATGATTCAACTAGCCTTTTTCGATTACTTAGAAGAATCTATGAACTCAACTAACAATATAGTGCAAAGATATCACAAGTTATGCCTCTTTCGATTACAAGAACAAGTAAATATAGATGCAACAATTAAATCTTCCAAATATAGCGCCCCGCGGGGCGGTAGTGCATATTGTGGCGAGAAATGAGTTTTTAAATTTTTTGACATCCAGACTTGGTTTTCGACCCCCGAACGTGATCCCGACTTAATTGCTTGGGCTTCTACTCAGACTTCAAAGCTCCAAATAGCTCGAATTAGTTCCACTACATCTACATAACTCAGAATCACTCCTACGAGGCATAAAACGCACAATAAGTGCATAACATTACCAATTAAAGCTCAACACTAGTAAAGTGCAGTGAATTCGAGTGTAATAAGCGACTAAAACACGAGATTATACTCTACCATCATGTACTAATAAGGAAATAATGTCACATAAACTGAAAAGACATAAATTATCTCCAGTTCTGCATCTTACAACACCACCAACAACAACAACGACCTAGTAAAATTTCACAAGTAGGGTTTGGGGAGGGTAATGTGTACACAAATCTTACTACCCGACGAGTAGATATGCCAGTTCTGCAGCTTCTATGGAAAATAATAATTGTGGAAATATATCACTACATATAATCAATGCAAAGATAAAGATAGACATGTTTTGTTCACATGAGTGAAAACGATGAGAACTACTATTTTCTGTCCTTTCTAATAAGACCTAGTCAAATGATAAGATGAGTGGAAAAATTTATCCAATTTCTTGTCAGGTCCCTCTTTTTTGATGTCTGCTTCTTCAAGACTTTACTAATGAGTTCCAAGTCAAGTTGAGAGTATTGGAAAATTTGGGAAGATCAATCATTTTCTGGAGGAAAATATGCTTCTTTACTTCTTTCAGTTTGGTTTAAATAAAATGGCTATAGTACTTAGTGAGTATTACAATTCTAACATGTACAAAGTCTAGTATATACTCCCTCCATTCCAATTTTCTCCGTTTCAATTTACGTGAACCTGTTTGATTGAGTACGAAATTTAAGAAAAAATGAAGAATTTTGAAATTTGTGGTCCTAAACAAATCAAAAAGGGGCCACAGTATTTGTGCGGTTATAAAAGCTTCTCATCAAGGGTAGAATTGTAAGTTTAAATTAAATTATTTTTAAATTTAGAAAGAGGTTATTCTTTTTGGAACGGATTAAAAAGAAAATAAATTCACATAAACTGGAACGGAGGAAGTATATCATAATTTAATTGTGGATTTTCCCTTTTAATGGATACACGTATACAATCATACTGTATTCTTACATTAATTTCCTAATATGAACTTAAAAAAGTTCGGGACGAATCTAGTTTATTTTATCCTTTGGAGAGTCTCACATCTCTTCGAAAAATTACATGTAAATGTATATCCCCCTAGCTAATGTTCAATCGTTTAGTTTCCATGATATTTTCCTAGAATTTTTATAATGACACGTTAGAGACTTATTTGATCTATTAAGTCATCAATTTATACTGCGGTAGAAACTAAAAAATTGTTAAATGTAGGACGAAAATGTCAAACTAACAATGAGATATTTATAAATAAAATAATAAAACACGAAAAATTTGCCGGTCAATTTCCTACATTTATGGAGTGGATTGATTAGCCCGCCTTAGGTGTGCACCTATCATTTCGTACCTCTCGCGATGCGTTCTTGACTAGGTCGTGCCTTTTGTGTTGTTATTTCGAAGAAATTAGAATGTTCGAATCAAAGCCTAAACATGTAGTTAACATCATATCAGATTAACTGTTTACTTTTTTTCTAGTCGATTTTATTCTAATTCTTTATTCTTACGAGAATCCCCCACCCCAATCATTCGTAAGACAACTATAAATTAGGCATCGATTATAAATGATTATATACATATATACATAAATTATGTAAACATTATACATCCGTAACTATTTTTAGTTTAAACGAGTTATGTTTAATGTCTTTGGTCATTATGATTAATTCTTCTTTTTATAAAATAGACACCTCAACTTATGTTTAATGTCTTTGGTCATTAACTAAACTTATGGGGCACTGAATAAGCGGGAATATGGTGATTTATTTTTAAAACAAGGGACTAAAATCAGAAAAATAAAAATAAAAGACAAAACACCATTTCCGACCAGCTCTTACGTGAGGCTAGCCGGAGTTTACTTTCCCGGCGAGGTAGGTTAGGGTTTGAAGATTAAAATGGGTTTAACGAATGAGAAGTAAGAGGAAGAGGAATGGAAAATGGGGAAGGGTTTGTTGAACCCTCGCTGGTCGGAAAATGTAAAGGGGATCACCGGAGTAATTTTCCGGCAAACCATTAATTTTTAAAAAAAGCAGTGATTTCTCTGTTCAAAGTCCCTCTCTTTTTTCTGAGGCTCAAAAACTGGTGAAACAGAAAAGGAAGCACAATTGAAGAACACACAGGATTAGAAGTGTTTAAAAGTTGAGGTATATATTTGAGTACTCATGGAATTAAGGAGTTTTTACTTTAAAAATCTGTGCAAATACAAGTGTCAATTTGGGTATTAAGCCATAGTTATAGGCACTTTGTCCAGAATCGGATTTTGGATTTTAGTATATACTGTATTCGAATTTTAAGGTTATTAGTATTGAACTTATTACAGTTTTAAAATTTTGGATTCAAAATTTAATATTTGTTGACATTTTTGTGTTTTCACGTAATAAATCTATTCTCCGGGTCGAAATGAATCCGTGCCGAAGCACTGGATCCGCCCCCGGGCTTATTTCATAAAAAGCTAGCAATAAAAATTAATGATTGATTCTTTCTCATATTTTTGTAGAAGATGGCTTGGAACATAGCAATAATTTCTAGCTTTCTATATATTGCCAAACTTGAAAAACTTTCTTGGTAGCTTCCAATGAGAAAGTGAGCAAATGGAAGGTTTGATTTTTATTTTTTAATACTGACTAGTACCATTTCCTTTTTCGCTTTCACCTTTGGATGTATCTATAAACCATTAGATATCTGAAATGAATATAGACAGGGCGGATCAAAGATTTTAACTTTATGGGTTCGTAATTTTCTTAACCCACAATTCATTTGATTTTCTAGGTTCAGAACATATTTTTGTACCTATAGGGTCTAAGCCGAAGCTATTGGATTCGATTGAACCTGCTCGTTATGTTGTAGATACACCGGTGAATATAGCTTCTATTTCTACAGTGTAGGTCATCCATTTTGGAGACTTTGGTTCTGAAAATGATGAGAAGTTGCTGTTGATATGCAGAGTCAAGAAGTCAAGTTTTTCTAGTGCTGTCAATGACTAAGAGAGGCTAATGTGAACATTTCCTTTTTTTTTTCTTCACCTTCCTTTTCCCTATTAAGTCTGGCCCATGTTATACGTTTGGTTCCACAAAGTGTTTCTTTTTGACAAATTTATGACAATTTTGATGTTAAGAAATTCTTGTGATCTAGCTAGACTTATAATTCACAAACCTTCAGCTAGCTTTCCTCTTCTTTGCAATAGGATTCAAAATGGCTTTGGCTTATTCTTTTATTTGCTTCCTTTTATCTCTTCTTCTGATGTTAGTTCAGACAAAGGGCAGAAGTGATTCAACTTGTCCAAAGTCTTTTTCATGTGGAAATCTTACTGACTTGAGCTTTCCTTTCTCTCTTTCCACACAACCAGACTGTGGACTAATGTCCATGTCTGATTGTGATGCTAAACCATTTCCAAGAATCCAACTGCTTCCTGGAGGAGATTGGTACTATGCTTTAGAGAAGCATAATTCATCAGTTTGGCTTGGCGACCCGAAGCTTCAACGCGATTGCGAGGCTTTTAACAAAAATTTCTCCCTTCAAAACTCTCCTTCTATTTCTTTCACTACTCTTTCACTTCAAAATATCTTCAAATGTAACAGTACCAGTCATAATATTACGCAGAAGATGAAAGATCATTTTGCTGGTTATAAAATGTACAATGGCTGTAAAGGCTTCAGCATATACTACAAGCTTCCCGGAGACATTCGAGCAGACAATCTTCCTACCAACTGTTCACCTATCAGATTGCCATTGCACTCGGTATCAAGAGATGGTGATTTGTTTGACTTGTTAGGTCCCAAATTTCTAGTAGAATGGGAACTGTCTGATTACTGTTACCACTGTCACTATAGTGGAGGTCAATGCCAGACTGATATTACCAACAATTTTTGTTGTCACAAAGGTAGACATCTCCAAATAATCTACGTGTTCAAGGTCAAGTGCATATTCTTAGGGCCTTTTCTTGTTTTCGTATCACATATTGATAACATATTTCGTATATTGTCCCCTATTTAGATGGAAAAACAACTAGAAGAAGTATGATGGGGCTGATTCTGGCAGCAGGTAGTTAAATATATTTTATAGCTGCAATTATATTACTTATTATAGAGATTCCATTCATATCATTTAAATTTCATTTTCATAGTGGTAAAAGCTCAAATCCTTTCTCTAATTATTTAAATTACACAAAGTGTACGGATGGTGGAGTTAAGGGAAAATGCCTTCTCCTTGCTATTTTTTTTTCTTTTCCAAAGACCTGGATTAACTGATTTCTTTCCAGTTCTTGGTGGAGTAGGATTGGCGATGATAACTTGTTTAGTTGTCTATTTTATCTGGTGTCACAAGAGGAGGAAATTTAGTCCATCCCACTTCCTCTCCACAAAGAAATTGTCAGATATTTTTAAACATGATGTTGAGGGAGGCAGTATATTCTTTGGTGTCCCAGTTTTCACTTATTCAGAACTTGAAGAAGCCACAAATGATTTCACTTCCTCTCGAGTACTTGGAGATGGAGGTTTTGGAACTGTTTACTATGGTGAGAAACTTCCTAATCCAACTGACTTATGCTTCAACAATTTCATTTTTTTTGGCTAATTCTTGTCCATCGCTGAACAGGAAAACTTAAGGATGGAAGAGAGGTTGCTGTAAAGCGCCTTTACGAGCACAACTGCAAGCGAATGGAGCAGTTTTTAAATGAAATTGAGATCCTTACTAGACTAAGGCACAACAATCTAGTCACCCTCTATGGCTGCACTTCAAGCCGAAGCCGTGAACTACTCCTTGTCTATGAATATATTCTTAATGGAACTCTTGCTGATCATCTCCATGGTCGCAGAGCGAAGAAACGATCACTCGCGTGGCCAATCCGCATGAACATTGCTATAGAAACTGCTGGTGCATTGGCTTACTTGCACGCTTCTGACGTAATACACTGCAATGTCAAGACTAATAACATACTCCTTGATCACAATTTTAGTGTTAAAGTTGCAGATTTTGGGATTTCAAGGCTCTTCCCAAATGATGTCTCTCATATTTCAACTGCACCGCGGGGAACCCCTGGCTATATTGATCCAAAGTATCACGAATGTTACCAGCTGACTAGTAAAAGCGATGTTTATAGCTTCGGGGTGGTCCTTGTCGAGCTCATTTCATCAATGCCAGCTGTGGACATGAATAGGCATAGCCAAGAGATTAATTTGGCTAACTTTGCAATAAACAAGATAGTAAAATGTGCATTTAACGAGTTGATCGATCCATCCCTGTGGTTCGATTCAGATACCAAGATTTGGGAAATGACTACTTCAGTGGCAGAACTAGCTTTTCTATGTTTGCAGACAGATAGGGACACGAGGCCTACTATGGTTGAAGTTTTGGATACTCTAAAGGAGATTCAGACTAGTGAATTTAATGATGAGAAGAAAGCTAAAGTAGTAGCAGCTCCTCCTTTCCCTGAATCAGAAGATATGTTATTATTGAAGCAAGTCAAATCACTACCTTCACCAAATTCTGTAACTGATAAATGGATTACTTGCTATGATATAAATATTACAAAGTAGTTCAGGTTGTATACCCCTTTTTCTTTATGTTCTTGATGTAAATTTTGAGAGACAATGAATGTACTACTTAGAGAGGTTTCTTGAGCTATGTATCTATGAATGAAGGTGATTCCATTTCTAATCTCATTTTATAAGAGTTCAAGTTATATACACTGGCAGCAGAAAAGCTTTAAATGTGTGTTGGTTGGTTCCTTCCGAGATGTTTAACATATCAATGCGAATGGAAGTGCATTGCGCTCAATCTTATTGTGACTAACTACTCTATTATTTGTGTGTTCCTGCAGCAACAAAAGAAACTTGGGACTAATTCTAGTCACAGGTATATGTCTATATTTAGCAGTAACTTTTATCTGTAACTAGACTTGCACAAAAATATCCTGCTGTTCTGCTCAAACTTAGAATTCTTATATAAGTTGATAGGCAACTATTTATCTATTTCAATACCATAACCATAAAATATTCTGTTGTTCTGCTACCATGAATTTTGATTCCTTATTCCTACAGAGAACTTGGAGATGGAGGATATGGAACAGTGAACTATGGTACACCTCCGGTCCACAATAAGTGATCATTTTACCTTTGGCATATCCATTAAGGAAATACGAACTCCTAGAGAAAAAAAGATGTATTTACTAAATTAACCTTTAATTAACTGTTACATTGACATATTGGAATATGTTCTTGGACCAAAATAAAAAGGTAAAATGATCACTTATTATGGACCGGAGGGAGTAAGAAGTTTTTCTGAAGCAATCATCAAATCCGGTGTTCCGGCGACTATGAATGTAGCAACAGTAGCAAATGCTGGGAGCAAAACAACTCACCGGAAAAAAGGGGGCCCTTGGCATGACTCTTATTAGAGAATGTGAGGCTCGCCGGAGTTTTGCTTCCGGCGAGGTGGGTTGGGGTTTGAAACTGGTGAAACAGACAAGTAATTGGAGAAAATGAAAAAGAAAAAGAACAGATGAAATGATGTCCTATGCGTACCTACAATTTGAATGGAAGTACATGACCCTACAATGATTTCCATCTCCCGTGTTATTTTTTAGTGATAGGTCAACAACAACAACAACCTAATAAAATCTCACAAGTGGTGTCTGGGAGGGTAAAGTGACGCATACCTTACCCCTATCCCGGAGGAGTAGAGAGGTTGTTTCCGGGAGACCCTCGGCTCAAAAAGACAAACATAGACATGTAACTAAAATAACAATTATAGACTACAGAACCAAATCTCTAGAAGAATGGAAGATGGTTCTATCCACATCAGAGCAATTGAAGAACATGCATGGTTAGAACTTAGAAGTGTTTAAAACATTTACCTTTTACAAATTTAGAACTTAGAATTTGGTCATGAAAATGATCAGTAGTTGCTGTTACTATGCAGAGTCAAGAAGTCAAGTCTTTCTACTGGTGCCAATGCCTACAAAAGCTAATGTGAACATTATTTTTTTCTTCATCTTTCTTTTCTCTAATAAGTCCGACCCTTCTTTTACGTTAATTTGGTTTCACATATTGTTTCTTTTTGGCAAATTTTACCAATAAGCTAAAGACTAGTAATATATAAAGTATTTAGAAGTTATGAAACTTGATCCTATAAGATATCTGGTGAGCTAGCTAGCTAGAGTTACAATTCACAAAACTTCAGCTAGCTTTCCTCTTCTTGCAGTAGGATTCAATATGGCTTTGGCTTCTTCTTTTATTTGCTTCCTTCTATCTCTTCTTCTGATCTTAGTACAGGCAAAAGGCAGAAACGATTCTACTTGTCCAAAGTCCTTTTCATGTGGGAATCTTACTGACCTGAGCTTTCCTTTCTCTCTTTCCACACAACCTGACTGTGGAATAATGCCCATTTCTGGTTGTGATGCAAAAACACCTCCAAGAATCCAACTACTTCCTGGAGGAGATTGGTATTATGCTTTGGCCAAGCTGAATAATTATACAGTTGCGCTTGGGGACCCGAAGCTTAATGCCGAGTTGAGGCAACATGATTGCCAGGCTTTTAACAAAAATATCTCCCTTCCAGACTCTCCTTCTATTTCTTACAAAGTTCTCCCAGCAAATATTGTCAACTTCTTCAAATGCAACAGCACTAGTACTACCCAGAAGAAGATCAACCATTTTCCTGTTTATGAAAAATACAATGGTTGTAAAGGCTTTAGCATATACTACAAGTTTTTCCAAGATCGCGATGAAGACATTCGAGCAGGCAACCTTACTGTCAACTGTTCACTTATCAGATTGCCAGTAAATTCAATGCCAGATGATGGTGATGTGTTCAAAATGTTAAGTCCTGCTTTTCAGGTAGAATGGAAATTGTCTGATGAGTGTTACCAATGTCACTTTGGTGGAGGTCAATGCCAGACTGATAAAACCAAAAAATTTCACTGTACAAATCAGTATAATCCACATGCTCAAGGTCTAGTGCATATCCCTTAAGAGTCCTTGCTTGTTTTCATATCACATAATGATAAAAATTTCATATTATTTTCCCTCTTCATTTTAGGAGCAAAAACGACAAGAAGCAAGTTGCGACGGACTCTGGGCGCAGGTACGTAGTTAAATATCCATTAATTGGAATGCTCTTTCCAATTAGAGAATTTCCTTGCATATCATTTGAATTTTCTTCTTCATTGTGGTAAAAGATCAAAACATATCCATAATCGCAAAGGATGATAGAAGTGACAAGTACTTTAGGTTACAAAAATGTATAGATAGTGGAGTTGAGAGGACATTCTTTCTCCTTGCGATGTTTTCCCTTTTGACTGAAAACCTGTGATTGCTGATTTCTTTCCAGTTTTTGGTGGAGTAGGATCGGTGATGATAACTTGTGTAGTCGTATACTTTATCTGGCGTTACAAGAAGAGTAAATTTAGTCCATCCCACTTCCTCTCGACAAAGAAACTATCAGATATTTTTAATCACGATGTTGAGGGAGGCAGTATATTCTTTGGTATCCCAGTCTTCCCTTATTCAGAACTTGAAGAGGCCACAAATGATTTCAATTCCTCGAGAGTACTTGGAGATGGAGGTTTTGGAACTGTTTACTATGGTGAGAAACTTCCCAATCCAACTGAGTTATGCTTCAACAATTTCTTCTTTTTGCTAAATCTTGTCCATTGATGAACAGGAAAACTTAAGGATGGACGAGAGGTTGCTGTGAAGCGCCTCTACGAGCACAACTGCAAGCGAATGGAGCAGTTTGTAAATGAAATTGAGATCCTTACTAGACTAAGGCACAACAATCTTGTCACCCTCTATGGCTGCACTTCAAGGCGAAGCCGTGAACTACTCCTTGTGTATGAATACATTCCTAATGGAACTCTTGCTGATCATCTCCATGGTGACAGAGCGAAGGGCGGATCACTCGTGTGGCCAATCCGTATGAACATTGCCATTGAAATTGCTGGAGCATTGGCTTACTTGCATGCTTCTGACGTAATACATTGCGATGTCAAGACTAATAACATACTTCTTGATCACAACTTTAGTGTTAAAGTTGCAGATTTTGGGATTTCAAGGCTCTTCCCAAATGATATCTCTCATATTTCAACTGCACCGCGGGGAACCCCTGGCTATATTGATCCAAAGTATCACGAATGTTACCAGCTGACTAGTAAAAGCGATGTTTATAGCTTCGGGGTGGTCCTTGTCGAGCTCATTTCGTCAATGCCAGCTGTGGATATGAATAGGCATAGCCAAGAGATTAATTTGTCCAACTATGCGATAAACAAGATCATAAAATCTGCATTTAATGAGTTGATCGATCCATCCCTGGGGTTCGATTTAGATACCAATATTAGGGAAATGGCGACCTCAGTGGCAGAACTGGCTTTTCTATGCTTGCAGACAGATAGGGATATGAGGCCTAGTATGGTTGAAGTTTTGGATATTCTAAAGGAGATTCAGACTAGTGAATTTGACAATGAGAAGAAAGCTAAAGCAGTAGCAGCCCTCCTTTCCCTGAATCAGAAAATCTGTTATTGTTGAAGCAAGTCAAATCACTACCTTCACCAAATTCTTTGACTGATAAATGGTTTACTTGCTCTGATATAACTAGCACAACTAGTTAAAGTTCTATAGCCCCTTTCTTTATGTTCTTGATGTGAATTTTGAGAGACTATGAATGTAGTACTGTGAGAAAATTCTTGAACTATGTATCCATGAGTTGAAGTGATTCAATTTTTAGTTTCATTACATAAGAATTAAGTTATATACATTGGTAGTGTAATGAAAGTTTTACTCTATTTGTACAGTTTAACATGTTGCAGGCTTATCTAGTTTATTTTTCGGCTTCTCATATCATATTTGTTATAAATAATTAATTACTTGTTATTGCAGGTAACTTAACCAACGTATATGGATATTATAACACTTTTAGTACACATTTCTTAAATTCTTTAACTAGTTATTAATTCTAGGGTAAATGTCAAAATTTGTCCTTGTACTATCTAAAATGCTCAATTTTTTTCTTTGTTACACTTTTGGTCTACTCATATCCGTGCCGTTAACAAATCATCTCGTATTTCCCGTACCATTAACAGAGTTCTAATATGAAATGAATGGACTCCATGTGTCCAAATTCTTTGCCGAGAAACGTATAAATTTACCTTTCAACTTTGGACTATGGTTTGAAATTACGGAGAAGGTTCAAAAATATCCCTTTACTATTCGAAAATATTCATTTATGCCATCCGTTATACTATTGGTCCACTATAGCCCCCGACGTCATATAATTGGTGCAAAAATACCCCTCTACCGTTAGGGCCCTCCACCATGGCAACACTAACCTATGTGGCCAGACATATCGCTGAGGTGGATAATACGTGCCATGCCACCTTAACACATCTATTCCATTTTACCCTTGTCCTACTTCTTTTCTTCCACCACCACCTCACTCTTAATGCTCATGTGATGATGTCAAGTCAATTCATAATCCAATTCACTCTTTAACACTCATTCATGGCGATTTCACATTAACTGGACAATAATTTACAACACCCAATTTATTGGGTTAATTCTAATTCCCGCAAACTGTAGATCCTCGGTCACAGGTGGAGATGAAAAACATTAGTGATGCAGAAGATTTTGGTGAGATCCGAAAAGGATTTTAGTGTTGGGGATATTAGGTGGGTGGAATTTTTTTGAAAAAGGTAGTGGTGGAAGAAGGAGAAGGTGTCCGGAACCAAAATAATGTATTTTTGGACTCAAAAAATAAAAATATGTTTAAAAAATACACAGTGACCAAAATATATATAACGTCGTTTTAAAAGACGCTATACCTTAACGGTCGTTTGGCCAGTTAGGTATAGCGTCTTTTAAAACGACGCTATATATTTTGGTTTAAGCGGGAACTATTGCTCTTTTGTTAAAATGCTATATATATATATAGTGTCTTAATAAAAGACGCTATACATATAAATATACATCGTCTCCTTCCCTTCCTCAAAACAAAATCGTCGAGCCCCCCTCCCCCCCCCCCCCCCCAAATAAAAAATCTAAACATCCTCCATTTTTAATCCAAAAAGAATTGTGTGGAGCCCACTCGTCCCATAAAAAGTAAAGATTTTCGGTCCCACGTGCTAGCTAAGGTGTTATCTCAGACATTGTTGCTTGTTTCGGCTCCAAATCACAAAATCTTCGACTTTCTAAAAACCTTAAATCGAGGTATTCCGACTTAGTTTTGGTTAAAACTTGTATAAAAAATACATATTAGTTATTTTTTATGTGCTCTATGTTATTTTGTGATTGTTTTGCGATTTAACTAATTTGTTATTTTTTATCCGGACTATAGTTTTAGTGTGCTAAACAAATTCGTAAAATAGAAAAATTGTTATTAGTTGTTAAAAAAAATATTAATTAGTTACTTTTTACTGTGGTATATGTATTTTCGTGATTGTTTCGTGTTTAAATTGATTTATTATTTTTATCCGGTTTAGATTATTTATTTGCTAAAAGACTAGTAAACTAGATAAATTATTACTTTAGTTCCCTATAGTGGTATCATGTGGCCTAATGTAGTGCTCGTATTTGTAATGTAGTGACCTTTTAGCGTAGTAAAACGTAGTGCCCTTTAGCGTAGTATCCTTGTAGTTATGGAAATTAATCATTTAAGTATCTCTTATTCCCAAAAATACGTCAAAAAGCTGACAGTTCAAATACAAACTATCTCCAATTATAGTCAACAAACGTAAGAACATAAGAATTCAGGATACATTGGTGCTTCTGGGCCTCAAATATTGTGTCCGGAACCAAAATGTGAATATTTAATAATTAAATCTTGTATAGTTATAAAAATTAATTATTTAATTTTAGTATAGTAAAAAATAAGCCAGTAACAAACAAACAAACATATAAAATAATAAAACCAACATATTAAATAATAAAACTAACATATACAATAATAAACTAACATATAAAATAACAGACCTGTTGAGTGAAAAATTGAAAAACAATTCTCATCATGAACATAAGAATTCAGGATACATTGGTGCTACTGGGCCTCAAATATTGTGTCCGGAACCAAAATGAGAATATTTAATAATTAAATCCTATATAGTAAAAAATAGGTGAATAACTAACAAACATATAAAATAATAAAACTAACATATTAAATATAAAATTTTAATATTGAAAATGTATCAACCTAATTAACAATATAGTAAAAATATCGAATAAAATTTAATATTCAAGGTATTGCAATATATTTAAGCAATGGAAAAGAAAAATAATGTAATTAATTTTGTTCAATTTACAGTAGTTGTCATGGAGGTTCCGCCTTCGCATCCCGGACTTGCCTCTCTAGAGCTACTATTGCTACAGGTCGAGCATTGGTCTTCCTACATATGGGAGGGGCAGTTATTGGCCCAGACTTTACGTTCTAGGAGAGTAGACGATATGTGGAACTTTCTTAAGACCCGCCAGCTCCATCCCCGTATAGTCAGACGCCTGCAGGATACGAGTTTCTATAGGATCATTGAGATCGGCCGGCTGCAGCTGGATTGGTCGTTGATCACGGCTTTGATAGAAAGGTGGCGACCAGAGACGCACACATTCCATTTGCCCATTGGCGATGCCACTATCACGCTGCACGACGTGGAGGTTCTGTATGGGCTGCCGGTTGATGGACTTCCTGTTGCTTTGCCGCATGCCATGAGAGATTATACGGGAGATCAGTACCTAGAGACGTTGCAGCGGCTCACCGGTTTCCGACCAGAGGATGAGGGTGTATTGGTTGAGGCTAGTCGTCTTACGTTGATGCCCTTCCGGCTGCATTTAGAGGCCATGCATGATGATATTACTCATGATACACCAGATCTTCATATTAACCGGTACACAAGGTTACTGCTGCTCCTTATGTTTGGAGGCGTATTGTTCCCGAACACTTCGGGAAACCTAGTCAGCTTGAGATTTCCTCATCATCTTGAGAGGTTAGATGATTTACATTAGTACAACTGGGGTGTTGCTGTTCTTGGTTACTTGTACAGGCAGATGTGCCGGGCATGCATGGGCACCCAGCAAGACGTTGCAGGATTTATGTCGTTACTGCAGGTGAAAACATAGTCAATTACTCTATTCATTGTAACATACATCATAAAAATATAATTTAAATTTTACGTCCAAATTGTATATTAGGTTTGGGCCTGGGAGCGGTTCCTGCAGTTTCAGTCACCTCTACCACCCACAGCTCAGGATGCACCACCTCCACCGTTTCTCCCTTTGGCTAGGAGGTGGGTTGATAGGCGGGGATACAGACGCGAGTACGAGGCTCGACATAATCTCCCCTATTACAGAGATTTGTTGGATTTGCTGGAGGACGCACAGGTAATTCTATACTTAAGTTTACTTGGCATGGATTTATATGTGTTGCGTATACTCACGGTTCCTGTTTTTACGTAATAGTTCATTTGGAGGCCATACAATGACGAGCTAATAGCTAGTTTGCCCGATTTATGCTCGACCGGGTAACTTATCTGGAGCTCTTCCGTCCCGTTGATGTGTCTCGATATTGTCGAGCATCATGCCACCGAGCGAGTCCTTCGCTAGTTTGGTCGACCGCAACTTGTACCTCCACCGCCCGCTTGGCTTATGACACATTACCAGCGGGATAATCGTTCTAGGGTTGACCAGGCATATGAGGCATGGCTAGATGTCACGACCCAAAATTTAATTAATCGTGATGGCACCTAACCCAACCCGTTAGGTAAGCCAATTACCCACTATCCAATTCTAATAATAATTATTAAAGCAATTTAAGAAATTAAAGGTCTTAATCTTATACAATCCCCAAGAACTGGTAGTACAAATCATGAGTTTCTAAGAATAGAATATACAAAGCGGAAATGAAATAAATACATAGTCTGTTTGAATAATATATAAACAAAGCTTTTATAAATCTAAGGCTACCCTGAACAAGAGGCAGCTACAACAGGAATGCAGGTACATCTTCAAATCCCGCAACCATCGAGCACAGCAACAACAACAGCCAACATCTGCACGCAATGTGCAGAAGTGTAGTATCAGTACAACCGACCCCATGTACTGAGTAAGTAACAAACCTAGCCGTAGGTTGAAAGTAGTGACGGGCTTCTACCAAGATCGGGTCCAAAACAACTAGTCCACAACAATTCATAACAACATAAAGCAAATAATACCATAAGTGACTCAGAGATAAAATGCTCAGCCAAATCATGATTTCAAAAATAATAGTTCTTCCTTTCAAATTCATCAGTGAAAACCCAAATCGTTTGCCGAAGTTGCCAAAAATATAAATAGTTTGAAAACAATAAATTTCTCTCAAAATCTTTTAATTAATAAATAAGATGTTTGATTTTCCTTCCGGATAACCCGTGTAAAACAAATGCATCACTATGCCCATCTGTCAAATGTGTAAGAAATCATGAATGATGTGATGATATACAACATGAGAAAAATACATCTTTATGCCTGTATGTTATGTGTGCATGCCAATGTTATGCAACTCAGTGATAAAATCATAAACAGCCCCTCGGGCTTACCTCACAATCACTCGTAAACAGTCCCTCAGGCATACCTCACAATCACTCATGCCTTCCAGTCACTCATCACTCGGCACTCGTACTCAGTAGGTACCTGCGCTCACTGGGAGTGTGTACAGACTCCAGAGGGGCTCCTTCAGCCCAAGCGCTATAATCTGCATGGACAACTCACGTGCTGCACGGATAACTCACGTGCTATAATAATAAAGTATATAAAGCATGCTGCAGGCGGGCAGCCTCG